TCTATGAGTCACAGCCCGGTTGATCAGGTATCCTTTGGAGGTGCTCAGGTATCCTTTGGAGGTCTGGGTACCTCCAAAGGTCTGGTCTGGTCACCTCCAAAGGTCTGGTCTGGGGTACCTCCAAAGGTCTGGTCTGGGCACCTCCAAAGGTCTGGTCAGGGTACCTCCAACGGTCTGGTCTGGCTACCTCCAAAGGTCTGGTCTGGTCACCTCCAAAGATCTGGTCTGGGTACCTCCAAAGGTCTGGTCTGGGGTACCTCCAAAGGTCTGGTCTGGGCACCTCCAAAGGTCTGGTCTGGTCACCTCCAAAGGTCTGGTCTGGCTACCTCCAAAGGTCTGGTCTGGTCACCTCCAAAGGTCTGGTCTGGGCACCTCCAAAGGTCTGGTCTGGTCACCTCCAAAGGTCTGGTCTGGCTACCTCCAAAGGTCTGGTCTGGTCACCTCCAAAGGTCTGGTCTGGCTACCTCCAAAGGTCTGGTCTGGTCACCTCCAAAGGTCTGGTCTGGCTACCTCCAAAGGTCTGGTCTGGGGTACCTCCAAAGGTCTGGTCTGGGCACCTCCAAAGGTCTGGTCAGGGTACCTCCAAAGGACTGGTCTGGGGTACCTCCAAAGATCTGGTCCTAGTACCTCCAAAGGTCTGGTCTGGGTACCTCCAAAGGTCTGGTCTGGTACCTCCAAAGGTCTGGTCTGGGTACCTCCAAAGGTCTGGTCTGCGGTACCTCCAAAGGTCTGGGCTGGCTACCTCCAAAGATCTGGTCTGGGGTACCTTCAAAGGTCTGGTCTAGGTACTACTTGATCAAGCGGCCTGTTGTGGGTGCACACCCCAGAGACGTATGTCAGCAGGGTAAACACAGAGGCACTTTACATTCCAGATTGGGTTTCCCCTTTATTTACTTAAGAAGAGTAAAGAAAAACTGGAATTCCTTGACGTGACTTAAGGGGGGGTTGGGATTAAAATTTTGTTTTATCTGGTTTAAAAGTGATTTATCTATCGTATATTATCTATCGTATATTATCTATCGTGTACATAACACCACAGTGGATTTAAAATATTAATACATAGTGTTATCTTACAAGTTTTAACTTTTATTAATGGGGGATGAGTACGTGGCAACACTGGTGGGTGGGTGGGGGGGGGGATGACATGAGTATTGAACAAGTGCTAGCGAGGGTTGAGCTCTTGGTCCCGCCTCTCTACTCTCAAGTGGAGTGGGTTTAGGTGGTGAAGACCTGACTCTACGGGGTTTACATGTGAATATGAGACTAATGGGTTGTGTAGGTCTTGTACACTGATTAAGAGGGTTGAAAGGCGGGACCCAAGAGCCGTAGCTCATCCTCTCTCGCGCACACACCCCTCCTGCCCCCCCCCCCACATTCGCCTCAACTCGCAAGTGTGTGTGTCTGTGTGTACTCACCTAGTTGTACTCACCTAGTTGTGTTTGCGGGGGTTGAGCTCTGGCTCTTTGGTCCCGCCTCTCAACCGTCCCAACTGTGTGTGTGTGTGTGTGTGTGTGTGTGTGTGTGTGTGTGTGTGTGTGGGGAGGCGGCACGTGTGTGTGTGTGTGTGTGTGTGTGTGTGTGTGTGTGTGTGTGTGTGTGTGTGTGTGTGGGGAGGCGGCACGTGTGTGTGTGTGTGTGTGTGTGTGTGTGTGTGTGTGTGTGTGTGTGTGTGGGGGGGAGTGTGTGGGGAGGCGGCACGTACGTGTGTGTGTGTGTGTGTGTGTGTGTGTGTGGGGAGGCGGCACGTGTGTGTGTGTGTGTGTGTGAGTGTGTGGGGAGGCGGCACGTGTGTGTGTGTGGGGAGGCGGCACGTGTGTGTGTGTGAGGCGGCACACAGTATATATTCTATATACTATTATATAATAGAATATTATAGTATGCTATAAAATATAGTATTCTGCGTTGGGGGGAAAATAGAATATATATTTATATAATACTGTGACGAGGGCCTCGTGTGGCCCATGTGATAGTATTCTATAAAATATAATAATGTATAAAATCTAGTATAGTATACCATATAGTATAGAGTATGGATGTTTGAAACAGTTGACAGTTGGTGTATTAGGTGAGTGTGGCGGGAGAGTTGGCAGGTGTGTGACAGTGTCGTCCCGGGCAGCAGGCCGCGAGGAGTGACAGCAGCAGCGGGCGGCGGGAAGCAGCAGCAGCAGCAGCAGCAGCAGGTACAGCAGGCAGGGTATAAAAGCCCGCGGGTGGGCGGCGGGAGCCACACTCGCTGCCCGGCAGCGTTGAGGAGAGGGTTCCTGCGGTCGGATTTTTTTTTACTGTCCGCCCTTCGCTGCCTTGCCTCCTGCTGCTGCTGCTGCCTGCTGGAGAGCCCATCCACCTGTTTGTTTCCGTCTTGGGGACAGGAAGACGGGTGTTTGCCCACACGTAGTTAACTCCAGGAGGGTGTTGAACCGTCGTGAGGCCTCAGGTGACGCCTTCTGGGATATATTTAGCATTTTTGAAGGCTTGTGAGCGCCATGTGGGTGAGCGATGTGAGCTGCGCTGTGGGCGGGGAGCAGGCCGCCCACACGCTGCTGGCCACCAACCCCCTGCTGTACTCCGGGGGCGTGCAGGACCCACAGGCGGCGCTCCTGCACGCCCCTGACCACGCCCTCACCGTGCCCATCCTCTTCCTTCAGGCACTTGTACTCCTCCTCTACTGGTACAACGGCCGCGCCTCCGTCGACTCCTTCTTCATCCGCCTCCTTCTGAACCACCACTGACGCCGCCGCCGCCCTCTGCTGCCGCAGGTGTTGTTGCCGCAGGTGTTGCCGCACATGTTGGAGACCTGTGTGATATAGGCGTGGGGGATGTGGGGAGGGCGGGCGTGCCAGTGTACTGGAGGCGGGGTAGGAGACTCGGCTGCCCACGCCCACCGCCCACACGCCGCCTCGCTATGATGGTGGCCGCCCGTGGGACGCCCCAGGCCAGGAGGAGACCCGGACACTAGCCATGGAACATGGGCGCCACGCCCACGCCTCGCCACGCCCACAGCAAGCTGGCCACCCCGTGTACTCCCAGGACCTGACGCTCCAGGCGCACTTTACCTTCGGCACGCCCTCCATGGCGCCCGTGCAGTACGCCCACGTCACGCCCACATCCACGTCCGCCCACAGTGGGCGGCCGCTGATGGCTAGCGGAGCGTCCCGGGAACACTGGCAGTGGAACGGTGGGGGCGGCGCCCACTGTTCCATCACCTGTGGGCGGGAGGGGCTCACCATGACGTACAACGCCCACCCTGCCGCCCACGACGCCCACAACGCCGCCCACGACGCCCACAACGCCGCCCACGACGCCCACCCCGCCGCGCCGTGCCCCATCTGTGCCGCCCCAGCGGCCACGCCCGGCCATGACGCCGGTGTAATGGGCGGCCCCGCCCTCACCAGGAGCCTGGTGGACCTGAGCCGCCCACAGGAGCAGATGGCCGCCCGCAGCCTCACCTTCAGCGGCAGCTTGGACCGCGCCACGCAGCGCCCCGCCCACCAGCGCCCATATGGGCGTCGCTGCAAGAGCACCGCCCATATTGTCCTACAGAACAACGAGGGGCTGACCGCGCCACGCCCACACGAGTTCCACGCCACCCTGCGGGAGGAGGGTGGTGCCGCCCACGCCCACACGGGGCCAGAAGGGCGGGGAAGGGCGCGGGTAAGGGCGCCACCCGCCTCTGCAGGGGGCGGGTGGCAGCGGCAAGAACACCCGCCCGGAGGGCAGGTGTTGCAGGGTGGTGGTGCTGTGCAGCCGCCCATTGTGCCGCCCATCGCGCCGCCCTGCTGCACCTGCCACCACTGCTCCGCCCTCTTCTCCCTGGTGTCCAGTCTGGCCCACCCGCGCCCCTGCTATGCCTGCACCCACCGCCCACCGTCGCCGCCCACGCCTCGCCGCCACCACCAGGACCCGCCGCCCACCGAGGACGGCGGGGCGCGCGCCCACCCACCGCCCAGGTCGCCCACGGTGCGCACCTTCAACTCCCACAGGTGCTACGAGGAGGAGGGCGTGCGGCGGTGCCAGCCGCCCACCTGCCAAAGGTCCCGCACGCCCTCCCCTAGGATGCTGGACCGCGGCCGCTCCCCCTCGCCGCATGCGTCGCCCCACGCCTCTCCTTCACCAGACCGACGTGGCGACGGAGCCGAGGACCGCCTCCCCCACGTCACGCCGCAGGCCACGCCGCGCCGCGTGCCACGCATGGGCGCTGCAGCTGCCGCAGCCGCAGCTTCCTCACGCACAGCTGTGCAGGTATAATAAGGGGGGTGACTTGGCCTATACCTGTTGCAGGTGTGTGTTGTCCCCCTGCTGGTGTGTCCTCGTCTACACCTGCCTCTTCGTCCCCCCCCATTCACTCGCCCCACACCCCCCCCCCCCTCCATGTATCATATGTACTCCCCCATTCACTCACCCCACACCCCCCCCCTCCATGTATCATGTGTACTCCCCCATTCACTCACCCCACACCCCCCCCCTCCATGTATCATGTGTACTCCCCCATTCACTCACCCCACACCTCCCCCCCTCCATGTATCATGTGTACTCCCCCATTCACTCACCCCACACCTCCCCCCCTCCATGTATCATGTGTACTCCCCCATTCACTCGCCCCACACCTCCCCCCCTCCATGTATCATGTGTACTCCCCCATTCACTCACCCCACACCTCCCCCCCTCCATGTATCATGTGTACTCCCCCATTCACTCGCCCCACACCTCCCCCCCCCCTCCATGTATCATGTGTACTATAGCCCATAATGTCATGTGTCCATCCACCCCCCCCTCCATGTATCATGTGTACTATAGCCCATAATGTCATGTGTCCATCAGTGTCAATATGTCAGCCAGCAGCAGCTCCTCCACAGTCATCTCTCATCGTTGTAAATAAGTCACCGCCATTGTAAATTGAAATATTATTGTAAATAAATATATTTTGTTGATAACTGCGTGTAATCCACCCTTTGGGCCCCCTCAACCCCCTTTCCCTTAGTATTGTGTGGGGCTGACCACCTTCAGGAGACACTGACTCCCTTACAACTGTTACTTGGGGGCCTCTTGGGGCTTCTTGGGGGCTTCTTGGGGTCTCTTGGGGGCTTCTTGGGGTCTTTTGGGGGCTTCTTGGGGTCTCTTGGGGGCTTCTTGGGGCCTCTTGGGGCCTCTTGGGGCCTCTTGGGGGCCTCTTGGGGGCTTCTTGGGGCATCTTGGGGGCTTCTTGGGGTCTCTTGGGGGCTTCTTGGGGCCTCTTGGGGGCTTCTTGGGGCTTCTTGGGGCCTCTTGGGGCTTCTTGGGGCCTCTTGGGGCTCTTGGGGCCTCTTGGGGCTTCTTGGGGCTCTTGGGGCCTCTTGGGGGCCCTCTTGGGGCCTCTTGGGGGCTTCTTGGGCCCTTTGGGGGCCTCTTGGGGGCTTCTTGGGGGCCTCTTGGGGCTTCTTGGGGGCTTCTTGGGGCTTCTTGGGGCCTCTTGTGGCCTCTTGGGCCCTCAAGGGGCCTCGTGGGGCTCTACACTTGGCCACAGTTAAACGTGGATCAGGAAACTAAATAATAACTATAGTAATAATGACAGAGAAATACCCAGCGCGCCTGGGAATACCCAGATCACAAGTTCGAATCCTTACCACGGCTCCGCTTGATATTTTCAATAACAACGATAATAAAAATAATACTAATAATAATACCTGTTTAATGTAAAGTTTGTACAGGTGACGACATTTCTGGGGATGAATATGGACACTTGCTTAAGGTTCAGTATGATGGACTTGTGGTTCAGGGGCCAGATTCACGAAGCAGTTACGCAAGCACTTACGAACCTGGGGCCAGATTCACGAAGCAGTTACGCAAGCACTTACGAACCTGGGGCCAGATTCACGAAGCAGTTACGCAAGCACTTACGAACCTGGGGCCAGATTCACGAAGCAGTTACGCAAGCACTTACGAACGTGTACATCTTTCCTCAATCTTTGACGGCTTTGGTTACATTTATTAAACAGTTTACAAGCATGAAAACTTGCCAATCAACTGTTGTTATTGTTATAAACAGCCTCCTGGTGCTTCCGAGCTCATTAACTGTTTAATAATTGTAAACAAAGCCGCCAAAGATTGAGAAAAGATGTACAGGTTCATAAGTGCTTGCGTAAGTGCTTTCGTGAATCTGGCCCCAGGGAGGTACACACTAGGGTGAGTGTGTACTAGGGAAGGGGGGAGGAGTCACACTTGAGTGCGCAAGTCGCACTTCACTTCAAAATGTCGACGCCAGATGAGATTAGACTTTACTGGGGTAATTAGTCAATAGGAAGTAGTTGGGAATTGTGTGAAGGGGCTGTAGCAAGTGTGTATAGAACGTTCAGGGGTTAGTTGGTATACTGTATACTACAGCACTCCTCTACTAGTCTACATTTCCGGCGTCTACAGCTGGGTATACTCTACGACTATTAAGCTGTCTGTGGACCAAGGATATGAACATACAGATACCTGAATATATTAACGAGCGGACACTGGAGATGATGTAATGTCTTAATATCTCTGAGGTTTTTTTCTCTGCCACAGACGTGGCCGGGCATTTATAGTGCTAACCAGCATATATATACATTTTCTTCTGTCCTCCATGGACAGGGTGAGAGATGTGTTAAACATATAGTTCAAGGGTTTATTGAACAGACAATCCTAGAAGGGGATTGTAGTGTTTTTAAAATGCTAAGCTAACCTACAAAACAGATTTACGTCTATTTACGTCAGTCACACACAGTTGATTGATACAATCACAATCACACAATCTCCAATAGTTGATAGTTGATTGATAGTTGATTGATAGTTGAGAGGCGGGACCAAAGAGCCAGAGCTCAACCCCCGCAAGCACAAATAAGTGAGGCGAGTACACACACACACACACACACACACACACACACACACACACACACACACACACACACACACACACACACACACACACACACACACACCCCCACACACACACCACACCCCACCCCCACACCCCCACCCACCCACAGTCCTGAGTGTGTGTGGGCGGGCAGATCAGACATTTCTTGCCATGTTATAATCCAGAGTAGCTCACCTTGGAAGAGGCTGGTAGGGGAGTCTTGTGGTGAAGATAGTGACGAACCCGCACTTACAAACACAAAGTTTTAAATATAAATTTATCGCATTTCATTTATTTCCCTAAATAAAAACTTTAAACCAAAATAAAGGCATGAATAGAAGATGAAAACTATGTTTACAGTCTTCATATTTGCTTGTAATAAATTTTTAAGAAATGGTAAGATCTAGGAGATTAAAGAATGTCTTGAATTATTGTTAGGTAAAGAATTGTGTCCCAGTCTTATTCTGTTCCACCACCACACAGATGGTGTCATCCACCACCTGTTCCACCACCACACAGATGGTGTCATCCACCACCTGTTCCATCACCACACAGCTGGTGTCATCCACCACCTGTTCCACCACCACACAGTTGGTGTCATCCACCACCTGTTCCACCACCACACAGTTGGTGTCATCCACCACCTGTTCCACCACCACACAGTTGGTGTCATCCACCACCTGTTCCACCACCACACAGTTGGTGTCATCCACCACCTGTTCCACCACCACACAGATGGTGTCATCCACCACCTGTTCCACCACCACACAGATGGTGTCATCCACCACCTGTTCCATCACCACACAGCTGGTGTCATCCACCACCTGTTCCACCACCACACAGATGGTGTCATCCACCACCTGTTCCACCACCACACAGATGGTGTCATCCACCACCTGTTCCACCACCACACAGATGGTGTCATCCACCACCTGTTCCACCACCACACAGTTGGTGTCATCCACCACCTGTTCCATCACCACACAGTTGGTGTCATCCACCACCTGTTCCATCACCACACAGATGGTGTCATCCACCACCTGTTCCACCACCACACAGATGGTGTCATCCACCACCTGTTCCACCACCACACAGATGGTGTCATCCACCACCTGTTCCACCACCACACAGTTGGTGTCATCCACCACCTGTTCCATCACCACACAGATGGTGTCATCCACCAGTCCACCACCACCTGTTCCACCACCACACAGATGGTGTCATCCACCACCTGTTCCATCACCACACAGATGGTGTCATCCACCACCTGTTACACCACCACACAGATGGTGTCATCCACCACCTGTTCCACCACCACACAGATGGTGTCATCCACCACCTGTTCCATCACCACACAGCTGGTGTCATCCACCACCTGTTCCACCACCACACAGTTGGTGTCATCCACCACCTGTTCCACCACCACACAGTTGGTGTCATCCACCACCTGTTCCACCACCACACAGATGGTGTCATCCACCACCTGTTCCACCACCACACAGTTGGTGTCATCCACCACCTGTTCCATCACCACACAGATGGTGTCATCCACCAGTCCACCACCACCTGTTCCACCACCACACAGATGGTGTCATCCACCAGTCATCCACCACCTGTTTCCATCACTTCCCCCCTTCAGAGCAGGAAAGAATCATTTACAACCCTGTAATTCCTCCTTATCTCTCTCCATTATCTAATAGTTGGAAGTTATCATTCTCAATAAAACCTATCACAGAGAGACACGAGGAAGCAATTCTTCTATCAAACATGTAACAAAAATCACTCCAATGATGCCTCGAACCAGGGACTCTCGTGGCGACTCTACCAGCCTCACCAACATTACACATCACCTTGAATATGACACATCACATCTTTGAACATATATCAGACGATATATTTGGCTCTTTCCTCATTAACATATAATCATCTGGTGACTGTAATCTCCACCTAACCTGAATATACATCTTATCTTGAGGTTATCTTGAGTTGATTTCGGGGCTTTAGTGTCCCCGCGGCCCGGTCCTTGACCAGGCCTCCACCCCCAGGAAGCAGCCCGTGACAGCTGACTAACACCCAGGTACCTATTTACTGCTAGGTAACAGGGGCATTCAGGGTGAAAGAAACTTTGCCCATTTGTTTCTGCCTCGTGCGGGAATCGACCCCGCGCCACAGAATTACGAGTCCTGCGCGCTATCCACCAAGCTACGAGGCCACCTTATTATAGAGGCCACATAGTAGATATCCATTAGTCTCAGGAGACTATGGAGTTGGGCTCCGGTTATCGGTCTGGAGTGGCCTCTCCAGGGCACAAAGCCAGGGTAGGTTGATATGGAGGAGAAGCTGTTACCCATGCAGCAGGTTATATCAGAGCAACAACTCTAAATATAATCTCTCCAAGAACTTTTTCTCGGAGATTTTGTTGATTTTCTTAATCTTGATTGATTTTCTTGTTGCTGCCTCAGTCACTTGGGCTGGACGGTAGAGCGACGGTCTGGCGTCATGCAGGTCAGGGTTCAATCCCCGACCGTCCACCACAAGTGGTTGGGCACCATTCCATCCCCCGGTCCCAAACTCTTCCCAGTGTATTAAGTGGTAATGACTTGGTGCTTTCCCCTGATAACTCTCCTTATGAAGTATTACGCTCTACTCTAGGCTGCTGCTCTAGGCCAGGGGCCAGATTCACGAAGCAGTTCCGCAAGCACTTACGAACCTGGGGCCAGATTCACGAAGCAGTTCCGCAAGCACTTACGAACCTGGGGCCAGATTCACGAAGCAGTTCCGCAAGCACTTACGAACCTGGGGCCAGATTCACGAAGCAGTTCCGCAAGCACTTACGAACCTGGGGCCAGATTCACGAAGCAGTTCCGCAAGCACTTATGAACCTGGGGCCAGATTCACAGAGCAGTTACGCAAGCACTTACGAACCTGGGGCCAGATTCACGAAGCAGTTCCGCAAGCACTTACGAACCTGGGGCCAGATTCACGAAGCAGTTCCGCAAGCACTTATGAACCTGGGGCCAGATTCACGAAGCAGTTACGCAAGCACTTATAAACCTGGGGCCAGATTCACGAAGCAGTTCCGCAAGCACTTATGAACCTGGGGCCAGATTCACGAAGCAGTTACGCAAGCACTTATGAAACTGGGGCCAGATTCACGAAGCAGTTCCGCAAGCACTTATGAACCTGGGGCCAGATTCAGAGCAGTTACGCAAGCACTTATGAACCTGGGGCCAGATTCACGAAGCAGTTACGCAACCACTTACGAACCTGGGGCCAGATTCACGAAGCAGTTACGCAAGCACTTACGAACCTGTCCATCTTTTCTCAATCTTTGGCGGCTTTGTTTACAATTATTAAACAGTTAATGAGCTCGGAAGCACCAGGAGGCTGTTTATAACAATAACAACAGTTGATTGGCAAGTTTTCCTGCTTGTAAACTGTTTAATAAATGTAACCAAAGCCGTCAAAGATTGAGGAAAGATGTACACGTTCGTAAGTGCTTGCGTAACTGCTTCGTGAATCTGGCTCCAGGTTCATAAGTGCTTGCGTAACTGCTCTGTGAATCTGGCCCCAGGTTCGTAAGTGCTTGCGTAACTGCTCTGTGAATCTGGCCCCAGGTTCATAAGTGCTTGCGTAACTGCTTCGTGAATCTGGCCCCAG